AAATGAACGTGATTAAACCGCAAACATTTTTTAAACATGTTTTCATTATAGCCCTGTGAAGAAGCTTGTGTGTGTGTGTGTGTGTGTGTGTGTGTGGTTGTATTTAACTTTAATTACATGCCACTTTTGGGTCTGTTTGTGAAAACACATAAGAGTAACCTACATCACTGGTTCTCAGTTCCAGTCCTGGGCCCCTGCTCTGCACATTTTGCAGGTCTACCTTATTTAACACACCTGATTCAGATCATTAACTCGACATACAAAATGTGCAGAGCAGTGGTCAAGGACTGGAATTGAGAACCACTGGCCTACATGAATGTGTCAGGAGGTGGCAGTAGAGAACTCTTGTTTACAAGAGAGTCAGGCTCTCAAACAGCTGAATTGCTATATATAGGCTAGTGTAACTATATGTTAGGCAGACACATGTGCAGTGTACATAAATCTTCATATACATCATGCACTGGGGTTTCCTTCTGTCTGTTGATTCTGTGGTGAATCTTATGAAAAAATCTCCAACCCAAACCTAACCCAACTCATTAGATCAAGGGGTTTCAAATCTGCCCTGGAGGCTCCCCAGCAATACACATTCAACTCATCAGCTCTTTAGTAGAGAGCAAGACCTGAAGTGGGTGTGTCCGATAAGGGAGAAATACAAAATATGCAGTGCAGGTTTGAAAGGACAGCGCAGGACAGGTTCGAAAACCCCTGCATTAGATTTCCATTATTGTAATGCTGGTTTGTTTTATTTTATTGTTATCTAAATAAGCGTAAAGGCACTGTGCAATTACTATGCACTGAGTTTTTATTTCATTTTATTTGAACCAACAAAAGTCAGTACTATATATAAAACCATTAAAATGAGATTGATATAAAATTCATTTTATTGAAACAAATTAGAATTTCTTTTTTCTTTAATATTATTAAAATAAAATAAAATAATTTTAAATTTCTTGTTTCTGGGGTGAAATTCTCTTGACAAGCTTTGTGAAATTCACCTTAGAGACCATTTGTACAACTGCAGTAGCTTGTTTTTGATTGGGTGGCATTTTGGCCCCTTCATATGCCAAACATTGCTATCCATTACTTCCTATAAAAGGCAACCCACCCACAAAACTGCAGAAATCGCAGACTTTGTAAATACGACCATAGCTGCATGAGTAAACTCTTTAATTACTTGGAAATGCTGGAACATTTAAGCAAAAAAGACTTTTTTATCTTAATCCACGGTTCATGAAAATCAATTCCATCAAACATAGAGTCAGAAATAAATAAATATAATGTGTTATGAAGCAAAACTGTCTGCTTCCAAACCATCCTCATTTTTCCACAAAGCTTCAGTTTGTCATAGACCTATTCCTAATCATTCATGTTAAGATGGCTACCTTTATCACTCAAGATACTTTGAAAATGTCCTTTTATTTCAAAATCTTTTTACACAAGTCAATTTGGTTAATAGGTTTTCCACAACATGTATGGCACACAGTGTATTTATTTCTATGTGTCAGCGATACCTGACATGATTGACTGTCCTGCTCCAAATCCTGCTGCTTCTGTCACTTTTTACCCCTGCTAGTCACAATGGCAGATGGTGGATGGATGAATTTAACACTGACAATAACACTCTGAACACCCATGTGATGCTCACTGTGCTGTCATTGTGTGACCTTTGACTAGTTTGACATCAGCCCATCTGGCATCTCCTGGGCTAAGGCATTCATTCATTGGCATTCACTTCAATGCATCCAAGTGTTGCCCTGTTCACCAGTGTCTAAGCAACCTCAGGTCAAGTGAGTCAAATAAAAAGAAGAGCCAATAAGATCAGCTGGCACTTCAAATGATATCATGTCAGTGCAAATGTATAGTTTCAGAAGGGTCCACATCAACTACAAGAAGTTACTCCAGTGAAATTTTTTTTTAGGACAGATCAGGTAATAGCTCTTTAAGGTTATGTACATTTTCAATTTTTACAGATACAGCACTGGGACATTCACTGTTTTGTGATTTGTTCAACACAATGACTCATTCAGAAAGTAAGAACAACTATTGTGCACTAATGCTACTTTGTCTCTGTATTTTTGTTAGGGGAAACATACAAAATAACTGGCAATGTTATGTAAAAAAAATGTTAAGTTATTAACACCTTATGGTTTTATATCACACTCTCATTTGTGCTTTAGTACTTAAAGGGGTCATATGATGCTGCTAAAAAGAACATTATTTTGTGTATTTGGTGTAATGAAATGTGTTTATGCGGTTTAAGGTTAAAAAAACACAGTATTTTCCACATACTGTACATTATTGTTTCTCCTCTATGCCCCGCCTTTCTGAAACGCGTCGATTTTTACAAAACTAATCGGTCTGAAAAGCGAGGTGTGCTCTGATTAACCAACTATCCAGTGCGTTGTGATTGGCCGAATACCTCAAGAGTCTTATCTATGCACAAACAGCTTGTAACACTCCAAAGAGAAAGGAAAAACTTGAAATCGCATCAATGACCCCTTTAATTTAGCCAAAACTGATTTTTTTGTATGATTGTTATAGAGAGAGAGGTCTGTTGAAATAAGTGACTCTCACAAGCAAGTGCTTTAATTAAAAAAACCTTGTAAATGACTCTTGAAAAGATAGCTTTGTCACGGCAGATATGAATTCAGTGAGGTTCACCAACTGCGAGTACACTTGCGCTTTAGCAGCACTCTGAACAAAGCCAGAAATTTGTTTAGTAAAATTGGCATCTTTTGAACTGAATGTAAAAGCAAATATAGCAGCACAAATAGTCCTGAATATCTTGATGTGTTGTAATGACCTGAAATATATATGTTAGAGAAAACAAATAAATATAAAACAAAAAGTTTACACATTTAGCATATGTTTGATAAAATATGCATAATATGCACTGATCTGCATATGTCACATGATATGCAATAACTTTCTTTCTTATGTGAAAATATTTTACTTATAATTTATATAACGTCATTGTCTGCGTGTGAAATGTGAATTGTAGAAGCATTTAAAATATGATTTGTAGAAGCATTACTGTGTATTAATCTAGTAGTAACTTTATTAGGAATGTATTTGCAGTCGTATTAACATTTTCTTGCATTTTAAATCTAACTCACCATGCATTTGTTAGATTTTGTCATGTAAAAAAATATTTTTCGTAGAGACTTGAAAGTCTTCAGGCTGAAAAATCTGAAGAAACAATAGGGACTGAAGAGGGTAAATACTGGAGAAAATGAGAAGAATTAACAGATGAGGTGGACTGGAATGGTGAATGAAAAAAACTATGAGCAGAATATGCAAGAGCTGCAAAGAAAAATGAATAAAGGGAGATCCATTGATAATTAAGGACACTCTTTTCATGTCCTTCAGAGATGACCTTCAGGATGGACAGAATATTGGATAAACAGTTCAAAGAATCCCCACTGCTAATATCAGGGCACACATGATTGCCACTGTGAGGTCAAATCAGCCAGCACATTAAACAACAGAATGACCGACCTGAACTGTTCAGTCGGTGAAGTGAGCCAAGTGCAAATGAGCAAGTGCTTAATGACATTGAATAATATCACAAAATGATTCTTTTCTCATGCAGAAACAGTTCTGTGCTAACAATGCATGACCCAGATGATGTCCCCCCCCCCAAAAGACACTGTAACAACTAGTTACATCGTATCCAGCATACTGGGCTTTTTTTTGTCAAAATGTTGCTGAAATCATTTCCAGGAATTCCTGAAAAATAAATTGGAAGGAAAGAAGACTTGAGGTTTGCAGTTATTGAGGATTTCTATGGCCTGACCTAGTCTTGACTCAGGGAGGGGAAATATTTGATTACATATCAGCTCATTATTTGAAGCTGACATACAGCGTAGAGTGGATGACTTCTAGTGAATAGGTCATTGTGTGTCTCACTTGTGATTAAGCTTGGACTGCTACACTGAGCAAGAGCCAATCAATCATAATGAATGCCTCCAATGAGACAGTGATGGAAGGAACATGGTACTGTAGGTCCAAGCAAAGAACCTATTTCCATTACCCCTAGTTTCCATTACAGTAATACAAAATAAGTGAATGAAAGAATAAAATAATTAAAATGTATCTCTCTCTTATCGGAAGCCCTCTTATCACTCAGCAGTATAAAGTTCATTAATAAAAAGTGTACAGTAGTGTACTGGCACAGCAGCGGCTCATCTTGAGTGTTGTTGTTATTTATGAGAGGTGGCATAGGCTATATGCTCTATATATAATCATTTGTTAGTGGTCTTTGAAGTATGTTAATTTACATAAAACACAGCGAGAATCTTCGAGAATAGTGGTTAATCAAAAAAACACAATACATGAAAATAATAATAATATCCCTAAAAATAGGGATTTTTATGTGCCTTAAATCACAAAGCACTGTAAGCAGAGTTCAGTATGTTAAACTGTATTGCTACAATGTGATTTAAACAAGAACTAAATGACAAAGAACAATACTTTACTAATATCTTCTTATTTTGTTGGACTTCGTATTAATACTCTTTGTTGGCATTATTAATCTTTTTTTTAAATCAATTTTTATTAAGTGTTACAGAAAATAGTTATACAGACATACATCAATAGGAATACAGTGCAACACACTAAATTTTCCTCATGCACCCACCAACAGCGACCATCAAGGAAGGAATGCAATCAAAGTGTGACCAAGCTAAAGAGTGTGGAGGTTGCCAACGTAAGGCATGGCATTATTAATCTTGTAATAAATGAAATTATATTTTGTACCTATGTAACTAAATATATTTTATGTTAAAATAAATATGTTAACATAGCGCATGTCCTCTTATTACTCAGCAGTATAAAGTAAATTAATAAAAGTGTAGAGTATTGCACTGACGCCCTCCGCCAACAGCAGCAGCAGCAGTAGCAGCAGTACATCTTGAGTGTTGATGTTATTCATGGGAGGTGGCATACTGTTCAATGAGGCGTGTCCGTGCTCAAGTGGGCTGGGACTCGAACATTTCCACTAAGGAGTGGAATAACCCGAGGAAAAAAGAGGAAGACCACACTGCTTTAGCCGTATCACGCAGTGAACCCTCTACCTCGAAGCTCACGGCGTGATATGTACGTCAGAAACTCGGATGCACGGTCTCGTGAAAGGTCCTGTAAGAGGAATCCTCACGTGGACGCAGCTGGAGCATGAAAACATCTCAGGATAGCTCCGCTCCTCTTTCTCCACCTCATTGACAATTTACAGTAGTGGTGTACCAACGCACACGCCGGTGTTTTCAGCAATTGGACTGAATATGTACCAGGGACATTCACAGGTAAGCTCGCTTGCTTCTTTCATTTATTATTGGCCAACGGCGCGTGAAGCATCTCATCTACCGACACGTGCGCATGAGGAAACTAAATCATCCTTAATTTGTGGAGTTTATCCTGTTCTCACCTGTCAAATCTCACTCTCTTAATATATATTTTAGTATGTGGGCAATGGGCAAAACGCATTTCACGACAAAAGCATGAACTGCATGAGGAGGACGTTAAGTGTGAAGAAAGAAAGAATGTTTCAAGGCATTATTTTGTCCTATTTAAACGTCTAACTGTCTGAACACTGTGTTCTGCTTGTATTTGTCCATGCATTCAATAAACACACCGTTGTTTTAAATAGTCTCAATATAAGCCCCTGTGAACCCCACTCATACCTCACTTAAAGTTTTATATTAAGATTACTTTTAAAGGGTTTCCTACTATGTGGTAAAATACACTTCCCTACCATAATGGAATAATTATAATTTGATGCTTTATCCTCAAAGTTTCATTACCTACATACCATGATGTGTTTGTATACATGTGTTGCACTATTTTTTAAATCAGTAGTCACATTTGCATTAACCTGTGTGTATATCATGTATATATGTACGGTTGCCTTGATTTTGCCAAATAAGACATGTTCCTGGATCAACATTTTTTGTTGATCCTGGATCAACATTATTGTCCAAAACATGGACCTAACCCTAACCCTAACCCTATCCCTACCCCTAAACCTAACCCTACCCATAATTTATCCCTAAAATCAAAGGGAAACGATAGTTGAATAACAAGGGTGTAGAAGCACCTAACTCTGGTTGTAAGGCTGAAACTGACATTTTCTGTAAACTTATCCCTCAATTCTGATTGATTGCTTGGAATGTTGTTCCACGATCAACAAGGATGTTGTTCCAGGAACATTTTGTACTTGGTGAAATCACGATCACCATATATGTACATGTATGTGTTTAGGTCTAAGTATGCACATGCCATTTATATCATTACAAAGTGGGTCTTAACATGTGTCAGCTCAGCGTTTTGAAGAACTTTATGTTTAAATGCATTTATTTCCTTTTTCCTTAAAAAATAAGACTTTTCGTCAATTAAAAATGGATGAAACTAAAATGAGCATTGATGTCATGACCCCTGCATGACTGCTGGCTCAACATCAGTGTTTTGCACTTGGAAGGAATTTGACCTTCATAGAGTCTGAACTTAGATCTTGCCTGCTGCCGTTCACATGACTGATGATGCTGCGCTTGCCTTGCACTTCAGGGAGCTGCCATCAAGTGTGGTTTGCTTCCGAGTCTTCAAGATAAATGTGTCTTCTGTCTCAGCAAGCTGTAAATCTGAGTAGTACGGTATTAGACCACAGGTCTGTGTCACATTTCTCATGATCGGACAAAGGAAAATGTGTGTTTGCGTTTACTGTTTGAAATTGTATGTTTGCAAGTAATTTGCTGCATCACGATTTGTGGCTACTTATTTTCCTGTCTGGTACTTTACATGTGCAGTACGAAGGAACAGTTGTGATGTTTTTAAATATGTTTTTAAATTTCAAGTTGTGTTTAAAGGCTCAAATGGTGCTGGTTTATGGATGTTACACAAGCTTCCCACAGATCTCTGCCACTCACAGCACTGCATGCCCTGAATCTGCATATAAGACACAGAGAGCAGGGTTGCCAGGTTTTCACAACAAAACCCGCCCAATTGCTACTCAAAACTAGCCCAAAACTAGCCCAATCGCATTTCGAGGGGGGCTCCCCATTAAAAATCACGTTCCGGGGGGTAAAATACACGTTTTTGGCGGGGTTCCCCTGGTAAAATTCGCACTCCAGGGGCTAAATATCACGTTATCGGTGTCGCTTTAACTCGCGGACATGAAAAACAACACACGGCAACAGTGACAAAGTAGCCCAATTCCACGGGAAAACCGCAAACTTGGCAACACTGACAGAGAGTGACTACTTATAAGGACGAACTTAAAATTTTCCTAAATTCTCAGATGAGAGAGTGCGTTTGAGAGGATGCCCTTATGCCCACCTGAAACTCTTTTGATATTACTATGCCCATGTACGCAATAGTTGAGGCTTTGCCTTCTGAAGGTACATTAGTTCAGCCTTGCATGGGGTTGTGAGAGACTGAAAAAGAGAAGTGCGAGAAAGCCCTTTGATGTGCTTTTCTCTTTTTATCAGAGAATTTTGTGCTTGGAATGCAGCTTTTGTCACAATTATGTTAGTCGGCTTAGATGTGTGGTTATTAAGCGTTTGAGAGTGGTAGAAAGCAAATTTAAAAGAAAAATTAAAACATTTTTAGATATTCATGGCTTTTAGCCATACAGCTGTGCGTTTCCCATACACCGACGGAACTCGTTGCTTAACCCCCATATTAAGATCCATCAATAGAAAAATGAATGAACTATTTCCCGAACTGTCACTGTTTCCCGAAACATACCTCTGTCATTTGAACCACATTAATGATGAACCACCTTAATGATGTCACATGCAGGTGAAGTAATAACATTTTCCTAAAGACAGCCAGTTACCCTCAGCGATACATTCGTATAAACCCCCACCCCAATTGTATTGTGATTCGTTTAACATCTCAACTGAATTGAATGGCCACATACTTTCATCGATTTTCAACCAGCCCAGGGTGCATCGTTACATCTCTACATTTCATACTAACAAGAAACTATATGCTTCTAATAGACTTGTGCCGGTATTCGGTAATGCGATATATCACGGTAATGAATATGCACGATATTGTTATCCTGGGCACTTCTAAATACCGTGAATAATTATATATTACAAATTATTCCGAATTTTGAATGCATTTTAAGAATACTTTTCCCATAAACTGGTCAAAATGCACAACACCACTGTATGCTGGATGAAAGACCCGTGAGCACTCTGATGTAAAGCGGACGTGAAGCACATGGCGGAACATGCGAGAGACGCTCTGGATGAAAGCGCACTTTCACTCTCTGACAGCAGATGGCGCTAAACTGCAGAAATAATAATAATAATAATGAATAATGTTCATCACAGCGCCAAATACTTAAATATTTAGACTTAATAGGCTATTT